CTTTTAATCGGTAAGAAGCTGAGAAACTAATCCTTTCATTTGCCAATGACTCAATAATAGATTAACTGCCGAAGACTAGTAAAAGAATAGCTCTCAAGTGAACCCTCAATCGGTAAGGCACTGAACTTAAGTGTTTTAATTGCCGAAGGCTAATCAAAGACTACCGTCCGAAGCGAGCTAAGCACTTTAGTTGCTGAGGGCTAATAAAAGTTTGTTCATAAACGTAGGATATGGCCTGATGGTCCATACCGTATCCTTTTAAATAACGAAAAATTAAATAAACACACCTAAAGGTTGTGAATATATAAGCCGAAGGCTTTTTCATTAATTATTGTCGAAGGCAAAGATACATTCGGAGTTCGTTTTATAATTACAACATGTCATAGGCTAGGGAACTACTTGAAATAATACTTCAGATGTTCGACGTTCCAAGGATGACCGAGGGTCTTGCTATTGGAGTCTCTGAGCCGATAGGTTCTTGATCGAAGGATGCCAATGATCTCATAAGGTCCTTCCCAGGAAGGTCCGAGGGTTCCTTCCGTGGGGTTCTTAGTTGCTAAAGAGACTTTTCGCATAACCTAGTCCCCGATTCGAAAAGAGCGGGATCTGACTCTTGAGTCGTAGTACCGAGAGATGCACTGTTTGTATGCCTCATTCTGAAGGTTGGCTTGTGCTCGGCGTTCTTCGATCAGGTCGAGGCTCAATGTGAGGGCTTTCTCGTTCGCCTTTGGAGCAAAGGTTTCCGTTCGGTAAGAGGGCTCGTCGATTTCTACAGGGACTACTACTTCCGATATGAAGGCGAGAGAAAAGGGCGTTTCCCCAGTAGTCGTTCGGTATGATGTCTGAATGGCCCATAATGATTCTAGAAGCTTCTCTGGTCAAGCGCCTTTGGCTTTGTCAAGCTGCCGTTTCAGTAGCTTCTTGATGATTTTGTTTATTGCTTTGACTTGACCGTTCGACTGTGGGTGAGCTAGGGAGGCGAAGAATAGATTGATCTTGAGGCGAGTGCAGAACTGCCTGAAGACGTCCGAATCAAACTGCCTGCCATTATCGATGACGATCGCATAAGGGATACCGAATCGGCAACAAATGTGAGTCCAGATGAAGTCTTCCATCCTGGCTGCCGTTATAGTTGCTAGAGCTTCGGCCTCTACCCATTTGGTGAAGTAATCCACGGCAACCACGACATACTTGACTTGGCCTTTGCCCTGCGGCATCGGACCTATCAAGTCTAGTCCCCATTGGGCAAAAGGGCATGGGCTTACGATCGATGTTAAGGGTTCGACAGGGATGTTAGTCACATTACCGAACCGTTGGCATTTGTCGCACTTCTTCACTAGTGCATTCACATCTTGGTGCATGGTTGGCTAGTAATATCCTTGCCGAAAAGCCTTGTGTGCCAGCGATCGGGACCCCGAGTGGTCACCACATACGCCACTATAGATCTCCTGAAGGATGTAGTCCCCATGTTCTGTGGTGAGGCATTTTAGATACGGCATGGTATAGCCTCGCTTGTACAGGATATCATTGATGACTGTGTATCTTGCCGATCGGTACCGTAGCTTCCGGGCCTAAGATTTGTCTTGGGGCAGGGTAACGTTCGTTAAGTATGCGTAGATTGGGGACATCCATGTGTTCTCGTACCGTACGCCGCATACTTCGGAGGTTATTGTGCTTGCTTGGGCCAGGATTTCCACCAGCACCCTCCTCCCGATCCTATCGTTGATTGCCGAGGCTAACCATGTCAGCGTATCGGCGTGTCTGTTTTCTGTCCTGGGGATCTGCCGAATCTCATAGGCCTGGAAATTTTTAAGGAATTGGTGGGCTACCGATAAGTAGGCTAACATGGAGGTATCCTTGGCTGCAAAGTCTGCTGTTATCTGATTCACTATGAGCTGTGAGTCGCTGTGAATACTGATTTGTTTTGTGTTCATGCTCTTGGCTAGCCGAAGCCCGGCCAAGAGAGCGTCATACACTGCCTCGTTGTTGGAGGTTCTGAAGTTGAATCAGAGGGCATACTCGACCTTGGCTCCGTCGTTAGTAGTGAACACCAGACCAGCTCCACAACCTTATTGATTTACCGAGCCATCGACATGTAGAATCCATGCAGGAATGGAAGGGTCAGGGTGTTCGGCATTCTGCCTTTCTGGTTCCCCGGCATCAGCGTCTGAACTGGCTGGTTCCAATGGTACCAAAGGTGTAAGCTCGGAGATGAAATCGGCGACAGCCTGACCCTTCTTTGCAGGCCTTGGCTTGAACTGTATGTCAAATTCTCATAGCTTAATCGCCCATTTGATCAATCGACCAAACGTTTTCAGTTTTTGTAGCACCTGCCGAAGAGGTTGGTTGGTCAAAATAGTGATTTCATGCGCTTGAAAGTATGGGCAAAATCTTCGAGCTGAGACTATGAGAACTAATGCTAGCTGTTCCAAAGGAGGGTACCGAATCTCTGCGTTCTGTAGTGCTTTACTGACATAGAAGATACCGAGCTGACGGCAGTGCCGAATACCGAGAGATACAGAAATAGAACCTCTCCTTGTATATGAAGCGTGTTAAGGCAGCGACGCGTCCGGTAAGGCTCGGATGTCCTTCTGCGTCTTCGGCCTCTCCATGTCGATTATGGCCTTGATTTTTCTGGGATTCGCCTCTATACCTTTTTGGCTGATCATGAACCCAAGGAACTTACAGCTTTAAATGGACAATATATCGGGATATTTTCGATAATATCGCGATATGAACTTACAAAATTAAACTCAGCCTTCAGAGAATCCCTCAACCTCCGAAACTTAGCTTTTCTCTGTCTCTCAACTCAAAAAAAGAGAAAAACCAGAAAGAGGAGAGTGAGAGAGAAGGGAATAAGAGGAAAAAAAATTATGGAGTGTGTTTTTATGTTTTATAATGGAGGAGAGAGAAGAGGGAAGAGGAAGAAGATAAAGAGAGGGAGAGAGATGTAGAGATAGAAGAAGAAAGGGAGAGAGAGAGAGAGAGTGTGTGTGTGTGTGTTAGGTAGAAGATGAATAAATAAAAAATAAATAAATAAAAAAGGGAGAGATGGGTGAATGCCCAAAAGAGAGAGAGAATGCAAGGTTGCGTGCAACCTTGTGAAGTTCAAACAATAAAAAAGGGAAAAAAACCTTGGGAAGTGGGAGAGAGAGAGTGTGTGTGTGTTAGGAAGAAGAGGAATAAATAATAAATAAATAAATAAGGGAGAGATGGGTGAATGCCCAAAAGAGAGAGAGAAGGCAAGGTTGCGTCTGCAACCTTGTGAAGTTCGAACAATAAAAAAGGAAAAAAAAACCTTGGGAAGTGGGAGAGGGAGGTAGGGAAACGTAAAAGTACTTGGGAAGTGGGAAATGTGAATGATAATCCATTTAATGTTATTTATTATTTTATTATTCATTATCAGTATTTACATTACTAAATTCTCCTTCAAATTGTTGCTTAATTACTTACATTTCTATAATCATTTTCATTATTTGCTATTTAATTCTTCCTTGGATAAATTTATTTATGTTCTTAGTTAATTTTCAATCTTCACTATTATTTTTTAAGCATGGTAAAATACCTAATTTTCATGAAAAATCAAATTGGTTTACATCTTTAATTATTTTTCAATTTTTGATAAATAATAAATATAAGAACGTGTACCATGTCCAATGAATAAAGTGAAATAAATTGTTGCTTAATTACTTAAATTTCTATAATCATTTTCTTTATTTCCTATTTAATTCTTCATTGGATAAATTTATTTATGTTCTTAGGTAATTTTCAATCTTCACTATTATTTTTTAATGGTTTAATGGCTGACCGGAACGTGTATCCGCCCATTGCCTTATGGCGACAAAGTAACATGTGTCGTCGAATGTCCTCCCCATACTAATTTCTCCATACTAACATAAATTAAAACAATAACTTTATTATCAAAACAATAAACCTTATTCATAAGTATTAGCACTGCAACAGAAATTTATTTATGAGCAATTCTATTTAATTACTTCCACACATTATTATTTTAATGGCTTAGCACATAACAACTCCTTGCCAGCATGAACTCTAGTTCATAGTCGAAGTTGTGCTATGCATGATTTTCCATCGATCTCATGGTAACCATTGGCTTCCAAGGAGTCCTTGTAGATCATCCCTCGGTATGCTGGTGGGTGAGACTCGCCCACAAACTCTGGACCTGGTTTCACAAATGTGTCAAGTGATGGTCCATGGACTGTGGCCACAGAGATTCTTCTCACCTCGTTGTTCAGGATCACACGATGCATAGGACTCTTGTACTTCCCATTTGTTAAAACCTATTATATATAATACAAGCAATGAATTAAAAACAAGTAATAAGCATTGGGAAACTTTTATATTAGGCAAATCTACTTCTCTTATTTGCTTGACTTTGTTCTTAGTTTTGGACTTAAATGCAATAGTTAATTTCTATAATAAAGTCTTACACAAAATGAACTTTGATTTCAACCTCATGATTCAGATTGAAAGTCAAACAATTCCAAAACAAAATATATACTTTTCTTGCATGGTGGACTCATGGATCTCATTTGGGAGATATTTTCGAGTGATGAGTCCACCTTAATTTCTTACAGGGATGTGAACGTTGAACTCATAAGTTCACATCTCTTGTAGGCCAACTCATTCATGAGTTCAACCTTTGTGAAAAATATTATTAATAATATGATCAATAAATATGATATATGTAGTGTGCTCATTTTGGAGATATCTTCGGGTGACAAGACCATCTTAATTTCTTATAGATTTCTTGTAGGTCGGACTCATTCATGAGTTTGACCTTTGTGAAAAATATGATTAATAGTGATGGGATGAATAAATTTGATTCATATTCGCACTTATTTATCTTATGTCAAAAATAAATTAAGGACTTCAAATATTCAATATGCATGTACCTCAGCATGATCCCCAATCTTAATGAAAAAGGCATTGGAAGGCATATCAAGATTGATCCACTTTTGTTTATAGTTTAGTTGGAGACCACCGTTGACGTTTTGTATGAGGGAACCAAAGTAGCCAGGGTCATAATGAGCCGGCAAACCGATTTGAGTGTTGGGTTTAAACCCGGGCGGATACACGTTCATAGCAGAAACATCAGCCCCAGTTTCTAACTCAAATTCCTTCTCTAAGTAATTTTCTTCAAATCCCAGTGTTTTCGATACTACTTTAGCCAAATTAATTATCACCTCTCGATTCCTTTGGTAATAATCTTCCAAGGCCTCCCTCTAAGTAACATATATATATAGTCGGACATAAATTAAGGTTAATCTTAGGCCATTTAATAAAGACAAAGTAGGGTATGAAAAAAGTCGAGTTAGACCAGAATCAATCTGGCTGAAATGACTAAACTGACTTATCTGAATCGTAATGACAGCTTTGATTTGGTTTTGATAATAGAAAAAGTCAAACAAAAACCGAATCGTAATGGTTTGGTGCAGTCGCGGGTTTAATTTTTAGAAAACGAACCAATCACATGTATATTTTACTGTTAAATCCAAACCACGGTTATTTTTAAACTCAAAACTATGTTTTTAAAGAAAAATACAAATATAACCACAATATAACTTTAAAAGATACAAATATACAATCCAAATCCTTATGTGTGAGATGCTTCTCCCCATAAGTGATTATGGTCCTCCCATAATCAGGGACAGTTCCTTAAACATGCTAACCTGGGCTATAGCAAAGAGAACCTTTTTTTTTTTTTTTTTTTTATAAACCAAATTAATACCCTAGTCTAGGCCACTCAAATAAAACCTTATTAACTAATCCCACTAGATTGACCAACAAAAAATAAAAACTAACCCC